TTGCACTGCATATTGCAACATGCAAAGGACTTTCACATGTACTTGAAACACCGAGCCATCTTTGTGGTTGCACAACTATTAAAGTAGATGTTTTCCTCTGTCTCCATTGAAAGTGTGGCAGGAATAAAATATTTGCCATTGAGTCTTTTGTATAAGCCATCCTATTCCCATGCTTTTCAGCACAGACTAAATCCCACCTTAATCTAGTGCTCCTTTAAACACCTGTACATCTTTTATAACCTATCATTTAAGCTAAAATTAGGATTCACAGTCATAGACTTGTTAATTCCCTTTATAACAAGGTGTGTTGTTATCAATCTGTGCCGATGATCCTTTAGTTTGGGCTTGCAATGCACAGATTCTTAGAGTGAAAGCAAAGCATAGGTGGGCTGGCTTACAGGATGTTATTTTCTCTTTTCTACAACAGCTTATACCTCAACAGTCTCACAAGAAGCTGTGTGATAAAGTTTTGGCATTTGGGAAACATAATTCAACTTTGCAAAATGGTATGGACCAGCAGAGATCTTTCTGAACTAATAAACGAGACAGAAAATAAGCAATATTGAAGGGGAAGGTGTATCCCTGATCTTGAACTGAAAAAATGACTTTCTTTTCCTCCTAATCTTTCAAAATACTGAGATGGGCTGCATGTTACCCCTCAGTGGGCTCCACTGTCAGGAGTCTAGGCCAGTGAAGAGGGACTAAATGTATCTTTTCAATAACAATAACAAAAACACCCTTTTCACTGAGTACTTTACACAAAAGGTATGTTGCACGTGTGTATTTGTGGGCACACATAGATTTCCTAGCTCTGTTTACTGACAACACCTAGAAACAATGATCAATCCAATAGTGATGGACATCCTTAAGGCCTAGATATGGTCTCAAAGTACCATTTCTCACTAAAGGAAACTAGAGAAATGGACATTTCTAGGCTTGAGGTGGGAAATGTACAAGATGTGTTTTGGAACACCTTGTCATACCAGTTAATGAGGAAGTTGTCCAAGCCAACACAACCATGTCACAAACACTCAGAAGTCAACTTGAAGAGGCTTCCAAGTACCAAAGGGGGAAATTTGAGCAAAAAGGATCATAATTGTAATTATTTGAAATCCATCAAATAAGTTGAAATCCATGACTTAATAATGATGGAATCAGCTCTCTATCTGCAGTTCTGTATCTGTGGATTCAATCAACTGTAGATCAAAAATATTTGGAGCTGGGTATGGTGGCATATACCTGTAATCCCAGCTACTGGGGAGGCTAAGTCAGGAGGATCACAAGTTTGAGGCCATCCTATGCAACTTAGTGAGACCCCCATCTGAAAATAAAATTTTAAAAGGGCTGGGGCTGTCACTCAGTGGTAGAGTGTCTAGCATGCTCAAGGCCTTGGGTTCAGTCCCCAGAACCATAATCAAAACAAAACTGCATCTGTACTGAACTTTTTTTTCTTGTTCTTATTCCTTAAACAATTCAGTGTAACAGGTGTTTATATAGCATTTACATTGTTAGGTATCATAAGTAATCTAGAGATGGCAAAGTATCCAGGAGAACATATGTACACGGGTTATGTGCAACTGCTATGCATTTTGAATAAGGGACTTAAGCATCTGTGGATTTTGGTATCCATGGGGGTTCCTGGAATCAATCCCCTCCAGGTACCATGGGATGACTGTAGGTTAAAAATTGGCCTCCTTCAGAGGATGGTGAGAAGCCAATTCATTTTTGTGAAAATTGCTAGATGAAGGGAGAATCAAATATTCTACTTTTCTATGTGAAGGTGCCACTGAGCAATCAAATAGTAGACGAGGGAACCCTGTTTCCCATAAAAGCATTCCAATGGAAGAATAAATAAATGGAAAAGAAGTGAAAGAACTAAAGTCTCACCATCTAGCAACCCTCTTTGAAGGAACATATCCTGGCATTGAGCATCCACAGCTGTTATCATCACAACAAGAGAGACAACCAGACGTTAGTACATGGCTCAGGATGAAAGAACAAATCACCACCTAGAATCTTGCCAAAGATCAAACGGGAGACTGACCAGTTATCTGCATCCAACTCCTATTTGCAGGAAATCTAGAAGACAGAGGAACACGTTGTCTTATACCACAAATGTACAATCAGCAAAGGCCAGATGGCAGGAGGTCTATAGGTGAAATACTCAGATAAGTAGTAAGAAAAAGAAACTGAAGAAGTAGGGAACTGGTATAACACAAGTCATGTTGAAATTTACAAATGGTTAATATTCTGTTGTGGTGTTTAGGGATGAACACTCAGATTTTTTTTTTTTTTTGGTATGGAATTGAACCTAGAGGTGCTTTACTAATGAGCCACATCCCCAACCCTTTTTTATATTCTATTTAGAGACAGGGTCTCACTGAGTTGCTTAGGGCCTGGCTAAGTTGCTGTGAGGCTGGCTTTGAACTTTCCGTCCTCCTGCTTTGGCCTCCTGAGCCACTGGGATTATAGGTGTGTGCCACCACACCCCGCAACACTGAGGTTTTAACCAGGGAGAAAACACCAACAACACAGAATATAAAAGCATAACTAAATCAGGTTACTTTAGAAGTCAGGGTAGTGATTAGCTTTGACAGGAGGAAGCCACATGGACCAGAATAGGACACATGGAAGCCACCTGGACCAGACTTTGATTGTGAGTGGAAAGTTCTCTCTTGGCCTGGTTGGTGGTTGCTCAGGAGTTCACCTTGGAATACCTTACACGTTCCTCAGCCACTTTGTGTGGTTTCTGGAACCCGTGTTTTATTTAATAATGGAAAGATTAAAAGAGAAGAAGAATATAAGAATAGCAGTTTTAAATTTACATTTTTACCAATGCAATAAAACGCTTAGATAGTCAAGAACACTTTGGGTCCAGATACAATATAATGGGATGATAAAGAGCATGAGCTTTGGAACCACCCCACCAAATCACAGCTTGAACATTTTCAGACTGTGTAAACCTGGGCAGGTTACTCAGCCTCTCTGTTGTCTCGCAGTTTTCTCTTCTATGACATGGAGGTTGTTACAGTTCCTACTTCAGAGTGTCTTCATGAGGTTTAAGTGAGATGATGCATGTGAACTTCTAGAATACTGTAGGCATGCTTAGTAAGGGCTCAATATGTGATAGGCACATATTCTTTCTTCTTGTTTGGTTTCCTGTTATTTTCCTCTCACACGGCAGCACTATCTCTGCCTTAAAAGTCCTGGCCAGGGACTTGGGGGCAGGTCCTCCGCTAGTCCTCAACTGGGTCCGTCTCATCCTATTCTTTCTATTTTGCATTTAAAGACACTAAAAGAGGAATCTGACAGGATGGATCAGGAAAGATCCCAACTGGGCAGATTCAACCTGCTTAGTGGCCAGCAAGGAAGGAAAGGGACTTTTTTTATTTGCTACTGGATTCCCAGTTCCTTAAACAGCGCCTGACAGAGGTGATGGACATTGCTGAAAGGAGGAGTGAAAGAACTTACAGAACATGATTTAGAAAGCTCTGGTCCAGGATTTCTGTGGTCCATGGCTTTGGTTTTGCTTCCCTCCAGCCCAGCTGTTTCTCTTCCTTGCTGCCCCATTTCTGTGTTCATGAGTCAATTCGTGTCTATGTATCCCCTGGACAAAATGTATGTATTGCACTCATCCTTCCTCCAGAAAGCCAGACATTGACCCCCACCCATGCCTGTCACCCTGCTTGTCACTTTCCTCAGGAGCTCCCTCCTGCCCAGCCAGTCCCTCTTCTTCCAGTGCCCTTCAAATCCTTGCCCCACACCTGGCTCCTTCCCATCCTGTAGTATCAGGGTGGATACTATAGTATCAGTATCCTTTGGAGCAAAGCCTTTCTGGACCAGCCTCTCATTGGTATGTGTCCCTATACCTTGCTTGTTGAACCCTCCTGTCTTCCTTCAAAGTACTTCCTATGTCTCTTCCTGTGAACAAATGTGATGAATACATGGAGCAGTACTTGGCCACAAATGCCTAGCTGCAAACTGCCAGAGTGGAGGCGTGAGTGTGAGCAGACTTATCCATTGTCTCCATCTTGACTTTCAGGAAGGTGCCATGACTGCTGAGCTTAATAGCTGCTGCTCCTTAGTGGGGTTCCATAAATACTTTCCATAAGTACTTTGCAAATGAATGAATAAACAAATGGATACAATGTGAAGCCTTAAGAATGACCTTCTCATTGAGAAGGGACACCAAGGAGACAGGGAATCCAGGGCAGGGAAGCTCATCAGACTTAAGGAAATAAGCTTTTTATTACCTGAAAGACGTGCCTACAGTGAAAGAGACCACTCCCTGACTTTACTGAAAGGCAGGACTTAGGATCAGGACTGAGCCTGTAGACAAGGATGAGGGCTTCAGGATGGTGAGCAGGATTCCTGGGCCTCACTGGTGTTCAATGGGCAATCCTTGAAATGCTGATCCCCTTGGGCATTTCTGAGGTTTCTGAGAGTGACTGATGCCTCAGTTCCACCAAGGACTCAGCATGGCCCATCCCTGACAGGGTTCATTAGGACTTGGTGTGATCTGTACCTGTAGATAGTATAGCTTAGAAAGGCTTGCCTTTGAGTCTTGGTTTTGCCACTTCCTGTGTGACCTGGGGCAAGTTCTTAACTTTTCTGAGATTTGGCTTCATTGTCTATAAATTGACAATTTTCTACCTTCTTTTGTTATTCTGAAGATGAATCAAGATCATGTGAAGTGCCTCATCTCATATTGCTCAAACCTGACTGTAGTCAGAAAAGTCTTTAGGGAATTTAAACTGTGCTCACACACCTGGGCCCAATTGCTGAAGATTCCAATGAAGCAAAACTGGGTTTTTCCAAAAATCAGGTTTAGGAAAGCTAAAAGATGACAAAGCTCAGGCCTTCCCTGAGCAATGTCATATATGCAAAGCCACAGAAAATGGTAGCTTTTTCATCTACCTCTTCCTCCACTGCCACCACCTCATCTTTTTTCAGGTCCTGCGTGTATGTGTGTCTGAGTGTGTGTGTTTCTTTGTTATTAGGTGCAACATAAGTGGACTCGAGAAGCAGAGCCTTGAAAAACAAGTAAAGGCTAACAGCAGACATGTTGAATATTGAATCCAGTCAAGGGCCAGACGAAGGCTGCAGGAGCTGAGGTCTTGGTGCTAATTAGTCAGCCTCAGATATCTGGAACAGCAAATGTGAAGGTGAGAGAGACAGCCCTGCCAAAGCAAGCTTTGCATGAAATGACACATATACACCTTTCCAGGTTTTCTGTATTTTAAAAATTCACTCTGTGCTTTAAAAAATCACTTTTTACTAAAGCTGGAAGCACTCTTAAACAAAGTATAACCATACAGAATAAGAGTTGTAGAATAATGTAATTTTCTAGTGCAATGGAAATTTACAAAGTGGCTCCTGGGTAAACACTACTGAGACATTTACATTCATTTATTTATTCAAAGTGTTTATGAAGCACTTTTAAATAGGTGTTGGAATATAACAGTGGCAAAAAAATCCCTACCCTCTTGGAGTTTACATTCTAGTGAGAAAAGACAGGGCATAAAAGAATAAACATAATAAGTAAATCATAAAATGTTAGAATAAGATGAAATGCTATTTAAAGGGTTTTTTTGTTTTGGTTTGGTTTGGTTTTTTTTTTTTTTTGCAGCCAGTGCAAGGGCCCTCAGGCATACTGAGTATGTCTGAGGAGCAGCCAAGGCCAGGTTGGTCTCAGTGAAGAGCAGTTGAGGACTAGAGAATGAAGCTAAAGAGAAAATGATTAGATGATGTCAGGTTTTATAGGTCAGTCTGAGACTTTGGCTTTTACATTGAGTAGGACAGAAAGCCTACGGGTGGAAGGGTGGTGAGAAACTGAAGGGATAAGATTTGTAGTATAACAGGATCACTCTGCCTGCAGCTTTGAGCATATATTTTAGGAAGGCAAGGATGCAAGGAGGAGACACATGAGGAGGAGCCTGCAGGGATCCAGGGAGAGTCTCAGTGACGGACTGAGGTGGAGCCAGTGTAGGTGGAAATTCTGCAGGATTGCCTGACAGTTTGAAGTGGGGCATAATAAATAGAGTGGAATTAGAAAAGAACTCCAAGTTTCTTTTGTTATTGTTGTTGCTATTGTTCCTTCTTCTTCTTCTTCTTCTTCTTCTTCTTCTTCTTCTTCTTCTTCTTCTTCTTCTCCTTCTCCTTCTCCTTCTCCTTCTCCTTCTCCTTTTCCCAGAGTGACTTAAAGGACTGAATTACTTTCAAGGTGGGAAGAGCATAGGTGGATCTAGTTTGGGGAGCGATATTAAAGTTTGCTTTTGGTTATCAGAGTTTGATTCCCAAGTGGAGACTTAGGACACACTGGACCAAGGGTCTGGAGTTAGGAGAAGCAGGAGGTGCATATGTGGGACCATAAGCATATAGATGGCTTTATGCCAGAGTCTGTATGAAGTCACCAAGGAGCTGTGGTGCAGATGGGGGAAAAGTGTGAGGACTGAGCTTCAGCCCTCCCCAGGAGGTGGGGGCCACAAGGAGGAGCCAGCAGAGCAGAGCAATGAGGGAGAAGTCAAGGGAGTGTGGTGTCCTAGAATCCGAGGGAAGCTGGTATGGTGGAAAGGTGAGGGAAGGGGTCAGAGGAATGTAGCCAAAGCTGCTGGTGGTTGAGTAAGAGAACTGAGAGGTGACCATCAGATTTAGTACTGGGGAGGCCACTAGTTACCCTAACAAAAGCAGAGGAGTTAAAGCTAATGTGGGGAGGAATTGAAGACAGAATAGAGAAATAGAAAGTAGCTTACAGGGAACTGGGTCAAGAGGTTTTTATATTTTTGTTTTTAGTGGGAGTGATAATAGCATTTTTGTGTGATGATGAGACTAATGCATGAGATGAGGAATTCTTGATGAGAGAGAGAGACAGAGAGACAGAGAGAGAGAACGAGAGAACAAGCGAGCAGAGTTGCTGGAGCAACAACCTTCAATAGGTGGGAGGGGATGAAATCTGCATGCAGTGGAGGCTTGGCATTAGCTGGGCACATTGACAGGAAGCTGTAGGATCAGATTGAGGCAGCACATATGGTTGCTGATGCTGGCTCTAGTTTTCTCTGTGAAATGATAAGCCAGCTCATGTTCAGGAAGGAAGGAGGGGGAGATGACATCAAAAGCCCAGGGAGGGATAAGGCACTGTGTGGACTGCCAGGACAGCGGGAGATCTACCCATTGGGGCGTGGTCATGGTTGCCTGGCAGCAGGAGGAGCTTGTCAATGTTCACCTTGAACACAAAGTGGGATCAGTGAGTGTCATTATGAGTTTGTCCCCAGTCACATGTAGCTGCTCAGAGGCAATCTCAGTTTGCTGGTTTAAGGATTGAGATGTTGCAGGTGACAGAACTGGAGAGGGGTGAGGAAATAGAGATCAGATGCTCAGGGGTCATTGTGGCAATTGACCATTTAAGCAGGCTGTAGAGCGAAGAGGGCAAGGGGCATAGAAAGGTGGTCAGATTAATATAGGGGAAGTCCCAGTGGGAGGAAAGTGGCCAGAGACTGAATAAAAATGAGAATAAGGATGGTGTGGTTGTTCTCCACTAAGCATGGCTGAGCTACATTTTAAAAAATCTCTCTTTGCAGTTAGATGTGTTCAATGACTGATTCTGGCAAAAGGAATGTGGTGGAAGAGATGTGCCCAGTTTCTAGGCCTGGCACATAAGAAGTCCCCTCATGCAATCATATCTCCTCCCTCCTTTCTGTCTTCCAGTGGAGTGCAGAGAATCCAGCCAAGAACTGTGAGACCAGGGAATGGCCACACCTCGGGCCAGAAGGAGCCTGTCCCCCTGCACCATCACATGGAATCTCTCCACCCAACCCAACAGTGTGATGTAGCACAAAACAATGAAATACATTTAGAACGTGCTTATTTAGTCAGATTTATAATATTTTTTAAAAAATATTCTCCCTCTACCAAATTGGAGATGCTGAAATTATTGTTCTGGGAGGGTGTATCCTTGGTAGTGGGTGGTTGCTTTGTCACTAAATAATATGGAATGCATCACAGTGCTCCTCAAACTTGAAAGTCCCTGAGAGTCACCTGGGGATCTGGTTAAAATGCAGATGTTGATTTAGTAAGCGGCCATGACCCTGTTTTCCTAAGGAGTCCTGGTGATACCCATGCTGCTGGCCCATGAACCACTGGGTGAGAATCTCCTCCAAGATTGTTGGAGGAGAGAAGTTTGTGTGACCAAGAGGACAGGTTGTTGGAGCCCTGTATTGAAATGTATTGAAATCAACAAGAATAGAGAAAGTAGTATAGGGGAGAACAAATGAGCCAGGAACTGAAATAATCAAACAATGAACTGGGAGTAGAGAATAGCAACAAGGAGAGGTAATGGGTGGAAGGAAGTGCAGAGGACTGTTAACCAGGGAGGAGAGTAAATGGTATGGAAACAGTGTTTGGGGGCAAGGGCAAAATCATTCAGCCTCCAGGCCCAAGGGTTGGAAGAATGAGGGAAAAGCATCACTGGTGCAGAACGGGGTTGCCTAGGCAGTGGTGTCTCAGGGATCCAGGGGAAGGGAAGGTTCAGGACGGAGAGAAGGGACTTGGCTAGAGGATTGTGAAGCGAAAGGGCACATGGAGGGGTCTTGAAATGGGAAGATGGAGACAGAATGAGGGATGTGTGAATGGGGGGCAGAGAGTGGGAGGAGAAGGGTGATCTGAGAGTCTGGACTTCCTATGGCCACAGACACAGACAGGGATAAAAAAGCAAGATGCAGTTAGTCCTCAGGAACCGAGGGCAGAGGGTGGTAATGAGGGGCAGGGAGTGGTGTGTGCATGGGACTGTCTCGACTCCTGATGGTGGAGACAGGGAGGTCTGGGTAAGCGTGAATGGCATTTGTCCTGCTCCAGGGTTCTTCTTGAACTCAGGCTCCTTTTTAGCTCCTGTGGATACAAGAAAGAATGCCTGCTAGGCGTCAGGTCTAATAGTTGGGATTAAGACGGTGTCACATTCTCAGGAAGCTCAGTTTATCCATGGAGGAAAAGCATACTTCTACATATAATATGCCTATTATAATATGCAGTCTTCATTTAAAAGTTTGCTCTGTGTTCATTATAGAAAGCCGAGTCTGTGCTCTTGGCATTCTTTGCATGACTGGGTGGCTGTGCACAAGTTCCACCTACCAGGTGAGCCTTAGCTAATTCCTTAGCCCTGATGCTTTGCTTCTCACTGAGCAGTCCATGGGCCAGCAGCATGGGTATCAGCAGGGCTCCTTAGGAAGGCAGGATCTTGGCCACTTACTGAATCAGTATCCCCAGGTGATTCTCAGGCACTTTAAAATCTGAGAAGCACTGTGATACGTTCCATAATATTAGTAGGAACAAAGCAGGTGCCTCCAAGAAGAAAAACAGCAAGTCTAAGAAGAAGCCTGAGGAAGGATTACATGTTACTCATCAACCTTCAAATCCCAAATTCAATGCAGTTTTTTTTCCAGCCCTGGCAGCATCCTGGATTCATGTGAACTTCATTAAAAAATAAAACAAACAAAGTTCTAACTTGCATGACTTGAAAAACATTTCACTGTTTCTTTAGGGAGAAATAGATCAGAACAAAGTTGATTATACAGAATAAGGGAGAAAACAACCCTGAACTTTTAACCTGCATGAGTTGTCATTAGAGTCTTAGAGAATTCCAGAGTTCGCAGCAGTCTTTTTCCTTGTTGGATGTTGGCTGCTCATTAGAGTCACCTGGGGAACTTTCAAAACAGGAAAGAATACCAATGTTGAGTCCCAACTCCAGTTATTCAGACTTAAGTCATCTGGGGTGAGACCCTGGCATCAGATGATTTTTCAAAAGCTCTCTGAGTGATTCTAATATGCAGCAAGGAATGAGACACCTAGGTAGAAATAAAATGCAAGGCACTTTAAGTTATCTAGGAGCCAAATTAAAAATGGAGAAACAAATGAAATTGATTTCAATCATGTATTTTATTTAATATATTCAAAATATTACCACTGAACATGTGAAAAATGATAATGAGATATTTTCTTTGTTCTTAGTGAGGCTTCAAAATCTGGCATTTATTTTGGGCTCGAAGCATACCTGTTACAAGACTGTGAGAGCCACGTGCAGCTGATGGTTGTGGCAGAGAGTGCAGCTTCAAGTACTAACTGCAGAGCCAGGCTCTGGAAGATAGGTGTTACAGTTTGAATGTGAGGTGTCCCCCAAAATCTCTTGTGTGAGACAATGCAAGAAGGTTTAGAGGAGAAATGATTGGGTTATCAGAGCCTTAACCCTATCAGTGAATTAATTCCCTATACCACTCATTAACTGAGTGGTAACTGAAGGCAGGTGGGGTGTGGCTGGAGGAGTTGGGTCTTTGAGGGCATGCCTTTGGTGAGCTGAGCTTAGTCTTTCTCTGCTTTCTGATCATCCTGTGAGCTGCTTCCCTCTGCCACACACTTCTGCCATGATGTTCTGCCTTTTCCAGAGCCTGTCTTCTATGGAATGAGACCTCTTAAACTGTGAGATTCTAAATAAATTTTTCCTCCACTAAAATTGTTCCTGTCAGGTCTTTTAGTCACAGCAATGAGAAAGCTGACTTGAACAATAGGTTTCTACCTCTGGAAAAGCAACAATTGCCCATTTAAAGCAGAAGAGGAACATCGGAAGATAATGAGCGGTAATTCAGCATTTCTTGAATTATTTCCTCAGGACGATTGCAAATAGCCCCTTAAAAATCACTGTGGAAGTTCTACGAAGAGGTAGGATTTAGAAAGTTCCCAGATTTTCTTCCTAAAAGGAAAGTGTTGTCTGAGATTTCACTGACCTAGGCACATCCTTTGCCATGCTCTACTGTGAAGGCACACGGATGAGTACAGTGCTGGGTTCACAGCCTAAGGTGTGGGCAAATAATCCTATTCATCTGGTTTTGATGTAGGGAAAGTAAATGTGTGTGTGTGCGTATGTGTGTGTGTGTGTGTGTGTGTGTGTGTGTGTGTGTGTATGCTCTTTTCTGCCTTGGAATGAGCCACTATGAAGTGCAGGCATCTTTGGGGGTTTTGGTATCTGCATAACTGAGTTAATGTTGGAATCAGAGATGGGAGAGGATAAAATTCTGTGTTTTGGCATTGTTCCAATCTCCTTCCTCCTCTTAAAAAAATAAGCATAATTCACAGATCTTCTCCTAGATCAGTTGTGAAGAATAAAAAAGACCTTAGTATTGACATTAGATTGATTTCCTAGGTTTTAATTTTTACCCTGTTTTTTTTTTCCCTAAAAAAAGTTAGAGAAATCAGCCACTGGCATATGTTAAACTATAACCAGGTCATGGAGGTCTTCAGAACCTGAGGCAAAGAAGCAGAAAGCCTTAGTGGCATGTGCTGAGAACTAGGCTAAACTAATTTCTCAGGATGATTGCAGAATGGCTTGCTAGCACTAGCAGTCAAAAGTAGAGACTTGGGAGGGTTGGCCCCCAGTTACTCCTGTCCCTGCATCCTCTCCAACCATCCAACTCCCTATGCTTTTCATTTATCATCAACATGTCTTAGCTTCCATCAAAGCTACTTCTTCCTGAAGCTGACCATAGTTTATAAAAAGAAAACACTGAGATAAACAAAAATTGCCTTTGGTTCATCTACCCGCTCCATTTTGAGCCCTTCCCAGTGAGAGAAGCATAAGACCTCTTCTCTTCTGAAGGCCCTGGAGTGTATCTCTGTGTCAGAATCCCCCTCAGCAGAGCCATGATCTTACCCACACCAAACTATAATCTTTTACTTCAAGGTTCAAGTGACACATAATTGGTTGTCTCTATCCCAAGATTTTTGTGAAAAGGAATAAAGCTCTACCAGAAGAATATAAGGCATCAGCCAGATAGTGGGGATTTCTTAAAGGTAATTATTAAATTAGACCTAATGGAATCCTGAAATACCACCATGTAGGCAATAGTGTGACCTTTTGGCAAGGATTAAGTTGGAGAACCTTCAAGGGGTCAAGTACAAGCCTGCAATTATGGTACGCTGCCACTTGGGGCACTTCAGGGCCTTGGCCGTGTTGCCAAACTCCCAGGCTAAATATAATCAGAGAATAAGGTTACTTTTACTTTTTTAAAAATGTAGACTTTAAGTACTATTGCCAAAATTAGGTTTCAAGATGATTCAGATAAGTAAATTCTCTAGAAAATCAAAGCCTGAGAAAAATCTTTCTACCTGCCCTCACTGTTTTCATCTTTCAAGGCTAGAGACATTGTTTATAGCCAAGATGTAATGACTGGTTCCTTCTGACTCCCACTGATCTCTTCTTTGAGAACCATCTCTTTTAAAGGAGAACTTTTAAACAGGATTCTCACAATTTCAGTGGCCTACCACTTCCCGTCACTCTCCCTGCTTCCTTTTCTACAGTGTGGAACAGGAGGAGCGTTGCTGCCAGCACGTGGGGGTGCATTATAGACTTGACTGAGGAGGATAGTCACATGAATTAGGCTCTTTTTTTTTTTTTTAAATAAATGAAGTCATTTCGGCGGATGGCTGCAAGATGTTTTAAGGGCTTTTTGGGTCAAATTATTCTGAAGTCATTGGTTAAGAGAAGTCTGACACTTAGGAGACAAAATACGTGTTATTTAATCTGCAACTCTACAGTGCTCTCTTTTGTTTAAAGATTGGGTCTGATTTGTTCTAATGTGAATGACCATAGGACACATGGTGCACTGTTTCAGGTTAATGCTGAAAACTAAGGTGAAGACAGGTTATGAAAAAACCTTAATGTTTGCTTCTAGAGATTGCACGCAATTTTGTGGGAGCAGGGAACATTGAAGGTTTGGAGTAAGTGGGATGACGTTCTTACAGTGGTACTTTAACAGCAGGGGAAATGAATAGAAGGAGAAAGGCTCAAAATCTCTGTGGAAGTGGAATCGATAGGACCAGGCAGCCAAGCAAACTGTGGGAACTATGGAAGAAAGAAGAATTAAAGATGGCTCTGATTTTGAGTACAGGAGAGTGCTAGTGTCCTGAAAAAATAGGGAGATCAAAAGTTCAGAAGAAATAGAATAAACTTGATTGTGAAGATCAAATAAAAATATGTACTGGAAGCCCCTTGAAAAGTAAAAAGTACTATTCCCATGTAATAAAATAATAGCATTTATTAAACATGGGGCAAGTATTTCTGTACTTTCTCAGAAAAAGGCTGAGCCTTCCCTACATTAAAATGATTTTTACGTCTAGGAGGAAGGAACTTTGTGCAGAATAGATCCTAGGCTTCTTTTCCAGGTGGGCTAAATGAGAGAAAGCAATGACAAAAGAGCAAAGGGCCCATAAGTAGTCACTCGGCATGGCATGGCAGCTTGGACATGATGAGCTTTGGTACAGGAACATGGTCTTCAAGTGGAATTGGCCAAGTTCAGATTTGGACTCTGCTACTTAACCAGATGAGTTATCTTGGGCAACTTAACCTGTGTGTTCATCAATTTTCCTATTTGTAAAACTGAGCTAATAAATGTAGCTGCTCATGAGGATTAAGTGAGTCCATGCTTGTAAGTGCTAAAAACAAACCCCAAACACACACAGCAATACCTCAAGAGCTGTTAGTAGTGGTATCATGGGAGTTAAATCAGAGAAAGTTGTAATGACGTGATCAGTGATGTCAAATGCTGTGAGGCCCTTGT